TTGTCTTCCTGTTTTACATCACATTTCTGGTTGCATGTGTTCCTTCCACTGCTCTGCTCACGCTCATACGCTGCCACGCTCCTCTCTACCACCTCCGCCTCATAGCCCGTATGTCGTCCTCCGGGGACCAAGTTTGGACCGCACCGTGCAGGTAACCTCTCTCGCGTAGTGAGGGCTCCATATGCGCCATGTACGATGCGTTCCCGTGCATCGCACCCATGTGCTCTTCGGCCGGGGCGGATACCAGGAACCTAACGGCATCGCCAACGACCTCACGTGCCAGGATCATATGGCCGTACTCGCCGCAGTTTATGCAAGTTTCCCGCGACCAATGGTCCCGCCACACATCCTAATCCAAACCAGCCCTTACCCAAGCAACTATTTTGTTTGGGTTAGCGGCTTGCCCCTGACTCCTCTGTTGACCGCCCTTGTCGCGGTCAACTTCAGTAGTCTGAACCACAGCGGCGAGGTTGCTACCCTCAGCAATCTCCTCGCCGTCTAACTTTAACACCTCCACAAGCTCAGAAACATCATCGATCTCAGTTTGATTCCCTTCAGAATCAACCATCGTCAATCCACTATCTTTCTTCGTCCTCTCTTGTGGAGCCTTCTTCTGTCTTCCATCCGTAGAAAGGGTTTAAGCACTGCCCAGCGTAGCCTCTGAGTCTAAGGCCTTCTTGCTGAATGTCTCAAATATGTGATACTCTCTACGATTCTCACTAGCTAATAAGTTCTTGATGTCTGTAGGAAGACATCTCAAGAACATGGTCAACAAGACCTGTGGATTGTACTCCGCTCCTAGGACGACAATGAGGCGTTCTACGGTCGTGGTAAGCTCTCTCACTGACTTGTACTTCCTAGCATCAAGCTTTAGTAGCCATAGTCGCAATTTTTGTCTGCTGAGGGTTGTGCCATCGAGCCTCCACTCAGTCCATAAAACTCTCTAGGGTGTGGATCTGTGTCCAATCACCCATGTTCCTGTCGAACCCCTTTGAATCTACCAAGCAATTCAGTCAGCGAGTTGCCGAACCCTCTAAGTAGGATGCAACAGTTATCGCCTCCTCTTCTAACAACGTCCTCTTTGCCCTTACCCACACTGGAACCGTTCTCAACCACGTGTCGATAGCCTCATCCTTCTTGTCTCCTGATATGGTTGGAGGTGGCTTCAGGGGGGTCTTGGGGTACCAAGGTAGTTCTTGTCCCGTTGGCGGTGTCAAGCGCATCGGTCCCGCACGGGGACCCTCCCGGCCGCGTCACGCAGGATTTTGCAGGACTTCGTCGCAGAGCATTTTTAGCCGCTCCGACCGAGTGCGCCAGCCGTACCTCTCGCGAGCCCCTACGACAGGACAGGGTCACACGAGGCACACCTTGCCTCCACTTGCGGGAGCTGTCACCATCCCTTGGGTGGGCGTATCCCCGCCGAGCTACCGGACCACGCGCGAAGGCTTCTCGTATGCAATCGTAGAGGTAGCCCAACTGAGGGCGTTTTCTCGTTCGCTGTAGCATAGGGGGTACGCCCGGTCAAACGCCCGTCAATCGGACCCGTATGCGAATCAACACATTGGGGGGCTGAGGTCTCTTGTACGACTCATCGTCGGTCGACTAGGACGCAATCCTCGCACCAGGCGATACACCACAGCACTCACACGCGCGAAAAAACAGAAAACAAACAACTCAATAATACAACAACACTCCTAGTCCCTTCAGTATCCGACCCATAACCGTTTAACACGGTAATCGGTTAGGCGTCGCGCGCGAGACTCAACATAAAACCGTGCGGGCGCTAGGCCTTTCTCATATCGACCAACGATGCAATAGTGCGCAAGCAGTCGTAACGGTGAAGTACTATATGGTACCCACAATCGTGCGACCCCCGATAACTTCGGGGTTCACACTTCGATACTCAAGTGTCGGCTCACATGCGCCTTGAGGGGTTAATCTCTCGACGCTAGACAACCGCCAAGGCGGTTGATCACCACACCCTCTTCTGCACCCTGCGGAGAGTGGGTGGTACACAGGTTCATACCTGTGCTGACAATCGTCTCTTATTGCCCTTTAGACAAGCTCCACCATCCAGGGCGTGGAGATAACTCAAGGGTTTTGACTTTTATGGCTGCCACGGACTATGACGTCCAACTATAAAATTTTAAAAAATAAAAAAAAGGATGAAAGAGAAATCTCCCTTTTCTCTCAAAGTATAATCTATTTAACCCTTGAGCACAGTCACAATAGGTCGTGCGAACACCCAACGAGTATGTATGTACATATATATAGAGGGTTATAAATATGTGACGATCACTTCTCACAATCACAGTGGGACTCCTCTCAACCAAATAAACTTAACTGATCGCAGACAGTCAAATCCAAAGTCCGAATCACCAAACATACCTGCAATCACATCAAAGATTCAACCAAGAGTCCATGCACTACACGGGGTCAACTTCAACCATTCTTTGCGCTCACACCCCTCGCTTTAGCCATACAAGCCTCACTCTTTATGCAACTCTCAAAATAAAATACTCAGCATCTTTATTAAATGGCCATTCAAATAAAGTTTGGGTCAAAACACAACGAAACAAATCAAACCACACGGCTAAAGCCTTT